ACTTTGTTACCTCTTGATGTTTTGCCTCACACATGTGTATTTCCTGGAGATGATTTAGGACATTTCTCATGTATGAGCCAGTAAACCACACCCCTGCATCTAAAAACAGTGAGTGACTGAATCCTGTGTTGTTTCCTCAGGTATTTTGGTCAATGGCGAGACCATTGGAGACAAGAAGATTCCCCCTGATGGTAAAATTAACACCTACTTTTGGCGTTTCGGCATCATCCACCAGACTCTGGGGGTGAGGCTAGAGGTGAGCACTCAGGAGATCTCAGTGCTCCAGGATGGCAAACAAGTCAAAGTGCTGTGGTCTGATACAGCTGCTTTAAAAGGACCCAAGTAAGGACCCTTTATATGAGTAATATCAAACATAAACACCAGTTCAGGAAGAATAATTATCATCTTCCTCTCCTCCCCTTCTTCCTCCTCCAGCATGGATCTCCTCTTGACCAAGGATCGCAGCCTAAAGGTTACTCTAAAGGATTCAGTCAAGTTTGTGGTCCTGCTTCACAAAGTGTGGAAGAAGCACCCGTACCATCGGGACTACTTGGGTTTCTACACCCTGGACAGCCACCTCCTGTCCCCTTCTGTTCACGGCCTGCTAGGTACGACATCACACACATGTCAGAGAGTAGACTGCATGCTTTAAGGTTCAATCACAAGTCAAAACCATTAATGTGGATTTGATTTCTGAAATTTCCTGTGATTTCTCCTCAGAGCAGAATAAAAATACAATCATAAAATAACCTGACACCAACAAAATCTGTCAGCCCAGAGAAGTTCCAGAATATCTGCCACTGTGTTTGGGGATTGCTCCTATATGACATACATGCAGAGAGGAGTACACCAGTAGTAGTGAGCTGTTTATGGTACAAAAGCTTGCAGAAACCTACTGTAGAATTCCTGCTCAGCACCAAACTGCAGACAGACACATTAAGCAACTAGCTGGTGAAATAGTGGAGCATTTAGCAGCAAAACAGAAAGACATTCCCTCAGGGGTTGGTAGAAACTAAAACAGAGCAAAATGGAGGATGGATATTGGACTTACATTCATCAGGTTGCCAGAAACAGGACTCCAAATGTTTGATGATGTGTAAATAAGCACCTTTTTGCCAACATGATTGCCATCTGTCAGTCGACCTGAGAGTCAATATATGACGTGCTAGGTGGCCTCCTGGGTCAGGTTTCAAAGTTCATGGATGGCGTCTTCATTGACACTTATTACATGCAGTGTGTCTTTTCAAAATACATATCTGTTTTCACAAGAAATGTGCTGCTCATAGCATGCATACAGTCTTTTTCAATGTAAACTTCCTACATAAGTAAAACACCCTGGTTCAAGGTTTATTTTTTAACTTTAGCCAACAATAATCCCTGGTTAGGTTTAGGCGACAAAAGCACATGGTCAGGTTTAGAAAAAAAAAAAAAAATCATAGTTTGGCATAAAATAACTATGAGTCTTACTAACGTCACGTCACGTCACGTCACGTCACGTCATGTCTAGTACTGTAGTTTGCTAAACATACTAGCATCAATCTCTTTGATAAAAAGAGATTGATTTTTGGTTTCACACGGGGAACAAATCGTTGGCTCCTGGGTGAAAGTCGTGTGTTTGTTTGTCCCTTCCACCTCCCCTCACGCCCACCCTGTTGGGACTTCTTGCTCTTTACACTATGATTGTTGACAACTGGGTCAGAAATAGCTACTGCTTGGTGCATGTCATACCACCAGAAAGAGTATCTCAGTGCGTTAGTGTCTGACATCCACTGCTTAAGCTATGGTATTTGATGAGTTAGGGCCAGCAGCATCAAAAATAGCCGCCATCCAGTGTGTATCATAGTGCTGTGAAAGGTGCCTCTGTACGTGGCTACCTGACACCAAAAACAATGACGAAGTTTGATGACTTGGGAGTGAGAACAGGCTGTCCTAACAAACTGCGCCATTAGGTTGGTGCACCACAGACTGTTAAAGCTGTAATATCAGCCTTATTATTTTCACCCGTGGGGGCAGTAGGGGGGGCAGTAATTGTGTCAGGGGGGCCATGATTTTTTTAAAACATTTTTTTAAATGTTTTTTGTGATGTTTTGCGGCAAAATGTGGTTTACAGAATGATTTAATTTTAAAATGATATTAACTTTCAATGGTGGTTCGTGCTCCAGGTCAGTTCTACCATGGGATTGAATATGAGGTGTCAGACCTGCGTCCAGGTGAAGTCCCAGAGAAACCAGATGCCACCATGTATGTGAAAGGACAGGAGCTCAATGTGACCAGGTACACTGCAGGCCTCAGATAAGTGTGGAAGAGTTTGTTGCATGCAGTGTGTGTCCACTGAATAAACTGCCTACATGACCATGTCTGTCTCGGTCCACAGAGGCTGGCAGAGAGACTTCAGGAGGGATGTGAAGAACGGAGAAAATGTTCCCTGCTGGTTTATTCACAGTAATGGAACCGGCCTCATCGATGGAGAGGCTGCAGACTACATTGTGTCAGGCCTTTTTAAAACAGTTTAAAAACAGGTTACACATCAGTGTCACTTACAC